CTCTTTCCTTACGTAAATAATCCCTAAAGTTGCTTTTTTCTAGATTACATGGAATGTCCATATTTTCATTTCCTCCAGCAAAACCACAACATTTAAAACTGCAGTATAAATTCTGTTGATCTCTTCTAACATCTTTGTGAACACTGGCACCTGAACTTGTCACCCTGTTCTCCACCAACAAGAAAGGAACCTACAGAAGCATTGTTAGGATGCAAATCATTTGATCAGTTTAACAAACATATTGAAGGTGAATCAGGCTTATTTTTTACTTCAAGAAGAGAACCTAGGTTAACTAATTCAAATACTGTGACACTAAAAGAGATTGTTCATGCATTTGTTTATGTATTTGCATGACCAGAACATCTAAGAGCTTCAGTCATAAATTAAGAACTCATCATATCACCACAGATCAAGCTGGACAGACACAATATTATTTTCTCCTTGCCCTAAGCAATTATTTGGTATGCCTAGAAGCTTATTAACAAAACCCTCAACTCAAATTACTAATAGTGTGCTCCACTGAATTATTAACTGTTTTCAACATATTCTATGATGCTCAGAAAGTTGCTATTTTCCAAAAAAAAACCCCAAAAGTAACAACTTCATCATGTTAAACAAGTGAGAATGAATAGATACAAATTTAGAAGCTCATAAAATGGGGCAGTGGTCACCTAAATAATCACTTACATAGACTTATTTATCATATTCTAATCATTAAAGGGACTTTCTGTTATAAGGTAGAAGGTACCATGAAGTGCCTTTTAAAAAGTTTTAAGATATGTACATTTTACTCTGTCTAAACATGCCCACAAACAATTCAAAGAGCTACAGACTGTAGCAGCATCACAAAATAGCAGAAATGTTACTTGTACAAAAATATAACAGTAAAAAGCTCTACTTTTCATGTGGCAACTGCTGTCAATTTTCCCTTGTATACAGGAAACCCCTGTTACTGAAGTATTAATTAAAATGGTGTCACTGCCACGTTGGTTTCCACAATACAGCTCATTTAACACGGGTACTATCGAGGACATTGTGTCTTTGGTTGTGTATGTTTTCCAATATTCAGCTCCACTGAAAAACATGCCACAGGCAGCAAGACTTCTTTACATCCTTTTTAGACTATTTATTTATAAAACAGGGCACAACATAGTAAAGATTGCCCTGTATACGCTGGACTATACATAAACCTTCCTACTAGAGATGCTTTCACTTTTCTGCTGGTCAACTTTGCAAAGCAATGAAAGCAGGTAAAGATAACACAGATGTAAAACCACTGCACAGTAAAGCTTCACAGACTGTGTGTTTGAATTACAGTACCAGCATGTGCTACTCTTCCCCTCTACTTCTGATTTGTTATATTTGCTCAACTCAGTTCTGGGAACAGTGGAAACTGGGAAAACAGCACTGTACCCATGATCACATATTGGTTTATCTCAATTTAACTCCTATAAATATCCATGTAACACTATGAACTTAAAAAACGTTTACCTAAGACGCATATTTTATAGCCTTTGTTTTTACATGCTATTTGAGTGTAGAGTAAGAAACAGAAGGAAAAAAGTCTCTGCATTACAGAACTGTCTTTGCAGTTAACTGTAGGAACACACTAAAACAACATTTAGTTTTCCCAAACATATCCGAATACGGGGTAGGTGGACGGACAGACTATGGAAGAAGCAATTTTAAAAGTGCCTCTGATTTTGAGCACAAGAATAGCATTATGGATTCCTCAAGACTGCTAAAGCATACCAAGCCATGTACAGTTACTGTTCCTATGGAGTTTTTAAGATGGATAGCTATTTCAGGCAGCAGCAGCAGCTTCCAACTTTTCCCGAGCTGAGAAAAACTTGAGAAAAGCCAGTGTGTATGTTGCTTACGTGACCAACTAAACTCCAACAAGTAGTCTTTGTAAAGAGTCACAGAAGGAAAGTCTCAAAGTAAGCAAGCTGGCTACCTTAAAAGCATACTAACCCTCAGGCTGGTTCAATAAGGCAAGCTCTTTGTCCCCTCCCACTCAGCTCTGCGCCTCCTGATGGTCACAGCCATTTCCCCCACACCTTCCCTCAAAACCTTCCTCTTCAAACTCCATCAACCCACAGTCCTTACACGTATCTTGCCTGCTCCATATCCAGAGTTTCCAAATGCCATATACTGAGAACACTTCACAAGAGATAATTCTTTCTATAACTCTGAAAAACCCGAATGTAGCATGCAGAGATTTCAAGTTATAGCTGATGTTGCTCATAGGATATTGCACACAGCGGAGTGTATCCAGCTTTGCCTGAGGGTAGAAGCTGTGACATTCTTTGTGAACCCTTCTTCTACCCTGTTCAGGGGATTTCAAGATTTGGAAGAAATTAAAACATGAAGTCATCAGCTATACAGGCCATTTTTAAGTAGGCATTGCTGACTTAGAAGTGAAGTACATTTCTTTGCAAATGGTGCAATAAAGTTGCAGATTTATACCTTAAGAAGCATTAATACATTGTTTGAGATGACAAATTTCAATTCCAAGCAGCAACAGTAAAGAAAAAAAGCCTGAAGGGGAAATGTAACAGTTCTGTTAGCAATTATCTCTACCTCAAATTCAGTCTTTCATAAACACTTCCCTAAATGTGGAGCACTATTATTCAAGGACAAACAGTTAAAGTGGCCAAAGATCCTTTAAGGACTTTCCAACTGTCTTTGCAAATAACAAATCCAACAAAAGGAAAAAGCTGTTGTCCACACAACAATGAAAATCTCATTGCTGAGAGGTGATATTCCACCCATTGCTTGGGGAAAGCACTGAGTTTCCACTTGCCCTCTCCACATCAACTCATATTTCCTTGGGTTTCAGGACTCTTACAGAATAATATATATAAAAGCACATGGCAGTAAAATTTATAACTTCTTAATGTTTCCCAAAAATGTCAGAAAAAAAACCACTAAGACTGATATCACAGTTTGTCTCTTAAGGACAGTAATGTCTCCCGGCACGGCCTAATTGCCTCAAAGAAACAGCAGCACAGTTATGAGTTCCTGAATATTGCTGCAATACATAAATACAGCTGTAATTTTGAATTTTCCATACTTTTTCCTCTGCCTGACAGGTCTTTATACACTAAATAAACAAAGGTTGTGTTGGACTACTCCATTTATGCTACTGATGATGTCCTCACCAAACCATACCACAGGCTATGATCTCAGACAGCATCCTGGTGATATGACCATAGACAGATCTCTCCTACTTGCAGCTTGCAGAAGCATACCTTAAAACCAGCGTGCAGCTGTCAGATTGCAATCCTGTGCTGTGCCACAGCTGTGATTTCACCGGTGGGGGATGAGCCTGTCCGATCTCCAGCCCCTTAATCCAAGTATGAAATCATAAAATCACAGAATGTTTTGGGTTGGAAGGAACCTCCAAAGTTCACCTAGTCCAAACCCCCTAAGTAGCAGGGACATCTTCAATTAGATCAGATTGCTCAGAGCAAAACCTGACCTTGAATGTCTCCAGGGATGAGGCCTCTACCACCTCTCTGGGCAGCCTGTTCCAGTATTTCACCACTCTCATAGTAAAGAACTTTTTCCTTATACCTGATCCAAATCCACCCCTGCTCTAGTTTAAAACCACTGCCCCATGTCCTGTCACTACACATCCTTGCAAACAGTCCTTCCCCTGCTTTCCTGTGGGCACCCTTCAGGAACTGGAAGGCTGCCATAAGGTCTCCCCAGAGCCTCCTCTTCCCCAGGCTGAACAACCCCAGCTCTCTCAACCTGTCCTCACAGGAGAGGCGGTCCAGCCCTCTGATCATTTCTGTGGCCCTCCTCTGCACCTGCTCCAATAGGTCCATGTCCCTCCTGTGTTGAGGACTCCAGAGGTGGCCACAGTACTCCAGATGGGGTGTCACCAGAG